GGAGGAGGAGGAGGAGGAGGAGGGACAAATGGAGGAGGAGGAGGAGAAAACCGAGGGGGAGGAGGAGGAACGGAACGGAAGGACCCGCGCGGGAGTACGATGACGATGATGATGATGATGATGATGATGATGATGATGATGATGATGATGATGATGATGATGATGATGATGATGATGATGATGATGATGATGATGATGATGATGATGACTATGAGGATGATGAGGAGGACGAGGAAGAGGAGAAGGCAAAAGGAAGAAGAGGAGGAGGAGGGAGAGGGGCGGGAATAAATGGAGGCGAAAGGGAGGGCGATGGCTCCGGGAGCTGGGCGGCCAAAGGGGGAAGTGGGGGGAAGGCTTCAAGCCCCCCCCCCTTTTTGCACCAAGGGAGGGAGGGGGGAGGGGGCTTCCAAAGCCCCCCCCCCGCATTTCAAAGGGGGGGGGGGTGCTCCACCCCAGCTCCATAATAAGGAGGGAGGGGGGGGTAGCTTGGAAGCCCCCCCCCCATTCCGGCCACGGATAAAGATGGGGGGGAAGGCGGGGTAGTATGGGGAAGCCCACCCCCCTTTCAACGAAGGGGGGGGGGGGGGTTTGGGGGGGGTGGACCTCACCCCGCCTCACTTAAAAGGGAGGAGGGGGGGGGGGAGCTTGAAGCCCCCCCCCACCCTTTCCGGAACCACGAAAAGGGGGGGAGGGGGGGGGCTTCGAAGCCCCCCCCCCCTTTAGCAAGGAAGGGGGAGGGGGGTAGCTTCAAGCTGGGGCCCCCCTTCCAGTCCGTCGGGCCCCACGAGCGCGGTCTCTTTGGCAGGCCTCGGGCCACGACGCTCGGCCACATGGGCGCCTCCCGTCCGCCTCTGGAGGCAGGGGAGGGGGAAGGAGGAAGAAAAATAGGAGGAGAGGGAGGGGGAGGAGGGAGGAGGAAGAAACAGGAGGAGGAGGAGGAGGAGGAGGAGGAGGAGGAGGAGGAGGAGGAGGAGGAGGAGGAGGAGGAGGAGGAGGAGGGAGGAGGAGGAGGAGGAGGAGGAGGAGGAGGACTATGGCGAAGAGGGCAGCGGGGAAGACATCGGAGGGGAGCCGGAGGGGAGGACGCAGAGGGCCTCCTCCCGTCGCTCGGAGGCCTGTCCCGGCCACGGGCGGAGCTCCGCAGAGGTGAGCGCTCTCTTTCTGCTGCTGCCTGCTCCCGCCCGCTTGCCCTGAGCTGCAGGTAGACGAATCCCAGCGCGTCCTCAAGGCCACGCGAGGCCAACGGACGACGGCGGCGTGCCTGGGGGGTCAAAAAGTGGCAGAAGCATAAAAACTCGGAGGTTCGCGCGGATTTCTCGGATCGGCGCTGGACCCCCCTCCCTGGCGCGCGGAGCGCGCCAGGGGCGGCGCCGGAGGCGCCGCTGGGGGGCCCCAGCGCCGATCCGAGAAATCTGCGCGGACCTCCGAGTTTTTATGCTTCTGCCACTTTTTGTCCCCCTAGAGCCCGCCCCCCCCGGCCACCCGCGCCTCACCCCAGGCATGCCGGCCGGCGTGGCAGAACGAGTGCCCGAGTCACTCCCTGCCACGGGACAGGCACGCGACACACGGGCGCGGCGTGGCCGTGCGCGTTCGAGTCCAGAATGCATGCAGGTGCCCCGCTAGCCCACGTGGGCCTGGAAGATCTTCCTCAGGAAGCTGCCCGTCTCGGAGAGCTTGCCCAACAACGACGCGGGGCCACTCCCCTCCGCCGAGGTGCCAGCCGGGGCACCTCCCTTGGCTGGGACGTTCACCTTCGGCGGAGACATCTTGGGATCCGCTGCCAGCTTCTCCGGCGTGACCGCCAGCTCTCCCGGCTTCTCGGGGGTGAAGACCACTGCCCTGGCGCCGTCCGACTTCTTGACGTCCGAGTCTCCCACGAAGTCGAACTGGTCGACGATGCCGCCTGCCCACAGGTCGTCACTGTCGCCCTCGTCCAGGATCACAAAAGACTTCAGGTTGCCTTGGCTGGCCTCCCAGGCCATGAAGTTATCCACAGGCTGGTCAATCGGCGTGGCAATGGAGAGGAGCCGCCTGGCAGCTTTCGGAGAGATCACATAGGCCACTGTCGTGTAGACGTACTGTGCTTGGCGGATGGCCTTGCCAGAGTCCACCTTCTCGAGCTCGTAGAAGTTGCCGCCCCGCCAACCTGCCCGTGGGCCGACCAAACCGCGCCTGACGCTTTCGCTTGGCCCCCGCAGTCGTGCGATGAGACGCATCACGCGAGACGGCACCAGACGGTGCTGATGCCTACGCGTCTGGAGCCGCGGTGTGCCCATGGTGCGCCCCAGAGCGAGGGCAGAGCCGGGACGTGGCGAACACGAAGACGGTCCACGGGACTGCTCCCGACATCGGCTTGGTTAACCCCCAGGGGCTCTCGACCCCGCCCCTGGGACAGTTTTGCGCCCCAGGTGGTCTTCCTGCGGGCCCCAGGGCTCGCAACCGGCACCCCTGGGCCCGAAACGGTGACGCATCGCTGGCAGGGGCTTCTTCGCGACGCTGGAGTTTTTTTTTGTTTTCTGTTTCTTTTTGGAGCGGACATCGATAATAAACACGACTCGTGTTCGTCGCAAACCTGTCCTGCAAACGTGGCCGAAACTCCGGCCAGGGACTCGGGCCCAAACAAGATCCGGCCTCGCCACGCTTACGTTGCTGCTTGCTGTAGGCGCCGGCTGGGGCGGACAAATCCTGCCCCGCCCTGGACAGACCGCGGCGCTGGAGGTCTGTTGCACGCGGAAGGTATCTCCACACCACCACCGTGTAAGACGAAGCCAGGGCGAAGACAAATTCGGGTGAGGATAAGTCGAGAATCTCTGAGATCCGGCGGCTCTGGAGGATGTCTCGGGCGCCGGCCTTCTCAGAGCGTGTCGGAACGCTCTGAAAGCGTTCCGGAAAGCTCTGGAACAGAATTTTCCTCGTCCTGGCCCCGTCCGAGAGGATGATGATGATGATGATGAGGAGGAGGAGGAGGAGGAGGAGGAGGAGGAGGAGGAGGAGGAGGAAGAGGAGGAGGAGGAGGAGGAGGAGGAGGAGGAGGAGGAGGAGGTGGAGGAAGTGAGGAGGAGGAAGTGAGGAGGAGGAGGAGGAACGCTCTAGAACAGATTTATCCTCGTCCTAGTCTGGTTCGACCGTGCCTGCTCAGGACCGCCCTGGGCCTCGGCATGCAGCATGCGCCGCCTGCCCGAGGCCGGGAGGGTCTGCAAAGGACCGCGGGACTCGAGATGGGCCTGGCCGGGCACGGTGGTGGTATGGATGCCTTCCTCAGTGAGGCGAAACCAGGACGAGGATACAGTTAGGTGAGGGGTAGATCGGGAACCTCTGACATCTGGCGGTTCTGGAGGATGCCTCGGGCGCCGCGGCCTTCTCAGAGCGTGTCGGAACGCTCTGAAAGCGTTCTGGAGCGCTCTGGAACGGATCTGTGCTCGTCCTAGCCCCGTCCGGCTCATACCCCCGACTGCGTTACTTTTTCATGACGGAGACCCCGAGAGGGTTGGACTTCTTTCTGGGGACCGGCTGTTCCTCCCGAGCCGTGCTTCGACGGCCCCTGGGCCTAGCAAGGGCCCGCAGAAGTCGAGAATAGCAAGTGACCTTCCGCAGCGATGTTTGTCACGACGCGACGGGGTCCTGGGTAGATGCCCTCTGCGGACGGGAGGGGTGGAGGAGGAGGAGGAGGAGGAGGAGGAGGAGGAGGAGGAGGAGGAGGAGGAGGAGGAGGAGGAGGAGGAGGGGAAGAGGAGGAGGAGAAGAGGAGGAGGAGGAGGGGGAGGAGGAGGAGGAGGAGGAGGAGGGGAAGAGGAGGAGGAGGGCTCTTCTTGACCTGTCTTTCTCCCTGGACCTGCCCAGCCCAAGTACAGCACGTCGAAGTCGGAGGGCGCCTCGCGCAGGGCCATCTGCAGCCGCTCCCGCAGCAGCGCGCCACCGAACGTGCCCAGGCTCGGGTCGGAGCGCTCGAAGACGAACTGCACGTCGTCCTTCGAGGGCGGGGCTGAAAGGGGAGGAGGGGTGAGAGGGAGGGGGACGAGGCGAAACACGAGGAAGCGATGTTGCTGTTCGTGATGATGATGCTGGTGATGATGATGCTGATGATGATTATGATGATGCTGCTGCTGATGATGATGCTGGTGGTGGTGGTGTTGGTGATGCTTGTGGTGGTGGTGTTGGTGGTGATGGTGACGAGGACGAGGACGAGGACGATGATGATGGTGATGCTGATGCTGCTAATGACGATGGCGATGACTGTGATGATGCTGTTGCTGATGATGCTGCTGCTGATGATATTGCGGTGATGGTGAGGTGATGGTGATGATTCTGCTGCTGCTGCTGCTGCTGCTGATGATGATGATGATGATGATGATGACGAGGAGAAGCCGAGGGCGGAGGAGGAGGCGGCGGCGGAGGATGGTGGAGTGTAGCTAGGACGAATGGGGAGAAAGGGTAAGAGAGAGGAGGAGAGTCAGGACAAGGAGGAACATGAGGATAAGGATGAGGATCATGATGATGATGAGGAGGAGAAGGAGGAAGAGGAGGAAGGACATGATACCCATGGAATATTTTCCATGCAGATTATGCTAGAGCTGCCCGAGAGGCATGATGCGATGCAAGGGTAAAACGCGGAGGAGGAGGAGGAGGAGGAGGAGGAGGAGGAGGAGAAGACGATAGAGGAGAAGGACGACGAGGAGGATCTGCGCGGGAAGAAGGAGAGACTACGGGGTACGACATGGAGGAAGGCGATGAGCAGAATGAGGACCCCGACGAATAAGAATAATTCGCCGGCCCAAACGGGCCAAGGGCGTGCTAAGATCTCTGGTAACTGGTTAACACTATTTCTACGGCCCAAGAGGCTTCCAGGATCGCCCCAACACGGCCCAAGAGGCCTCCAATAGCGCCCAAAACGGCCCCAGAGGGCCCCAAGACAGCCCCAAGAGGCCTCCAAGATGGCCGACGAGGCTCCCAAGACGGCTCCAAGAGCGGGCCCACACGGGGGACTCGAACGGACATTTCGAGCTCTAGGCGCAGAGAGGACTCTTGGAGGCCCCAAGAGGCTCCTAAGAAGCCCCCAAGAGGCCCCCCGAGAGGCCCCAAAAGACCCCCGAGAGGCTCCCAAGAGGCCCCTGTGACGCCCCAGGAAGTCCCAGAAATACCACCAAGAGGCCTCCCCAAAAGGCTCCAATGGGCCCCCAAATGGCCTCCAAGAGGCCACGAACGCGCAAGCACGCGCCTGCGATGGCACAATACGCTCCAGCGGAGTGAGCGAAGCGATTTACTACGACGACGACGACTACTACTACTACTACTACTACTACGACTACCACTAGTACTACTACTACTACTACTACTACTACTACTACTACTACTACCACTACTACTACTACTACTACTACTACTACTACTACTACTACTACTACTACTACAACTACTACTACTACTACTACCACTACAACAACAACAACTACTACTACTACTACTACTATTACTACGATGACTACGACTACTACTGCTACTACTACTACTACTACTACTACCACTACTACGACGGCTACGACTACTAATACTGCTACTACGACGACTACTACTACTACTTCCACTACTACTACTACTACTACTACTACTACTACTACTACCTCTACTACTATTACTACTACTGCTACTTTTACTTGTACTTTTACTACTACTATTACTACTACGACTACGACTACGACTACGACTACGACTACGACGACTACTACTACTACTGCTACTACTACTATTCCTAATACTACTACGACGACGGCTACTACTACTACTACTACTGCTACTACTACTAATACGGTTCTAATAACAACACTACGGGTGACGATGATTCTCCTGATGATCATACTAATCGTAAGCCAAGTATAACGATACTAGTGCTGCTAATACTAAAACTACTAAGCATACTAACAACATTACTAGCGATACTAATACGACGCATAATAATACTATGAATTGTACTAACGAATTAATACTGAGCCTTGAAGTCGCACTGGACACTGCTGTTGCTAATACTACTACTACCACCACCACCACTACTACTACTACTACTACTACTACTACTACTACTACTACTACTACTACTAGTACTAGTACTAGTACTAGTACTACTACTACTACCACTACCACTTCTACTACTACTACTATACTATTACTACTACTACTACTACTACTACTACTACTCCTACTCCTACTACTACTACTACCACCACTACTAGTCGCACTGGATACTGCTGTTACTGCTACTATTACTACTACCACCACCACAACCACCTACTACTACTACTACTACTACACCACCACCACCACCACCCTCACCACACCACCACCACCACCACACCACCACCACCACCACCACCACTACTACTACACTACTACTACTACTACTACTACTACTACTACTACTACTACTACTACTACTACTACTACTACTACTACTACTACTACTACTACTACTACTACTACTACTACTACTACTACTACTACTACTACTACGACCACTACTACCACTACCACCACTACTACTACCACTACTCCTACTACTACTACTACTTCTACTTCTACTACCACTGCTGCTGCTACTACTACTACTGCTACTACTAGGAAGAAAACGACACTTGATGCTAATACACAATGAGACGTACACGAAACCTGGCATGAATACTAAGGAAACGAACCAAGGATAAGGATGCACTGCTGAGGCAATGAGGGGGGCGGGGAATGTGAGGACGAGAAAGAACAGGAGAAACAACATGATGAAGAGGAGGACGGCAACGTGGAGGTTGAGGAGGAACACCCTCGCCCTCGTCCGCCTCCTCGTCTTCGTCTTTCTCCTGGTCATCGTCGCCCTCCTTCCACCAAGTCGTGCAAGGGGGAGAAGGGCGACGACGACGACGACGACGACCACGAAGCGACAACGCCGACACCACCACTGGCGACGACACAACGACAGCGACGACGGCGGAACGACAGAACGACGACGACGACGAACGACGACGACGGCCCGATGACGAAAACGACGACGGAACGACGACGACGATGACGGCAACGGCGCGCCGCGGGTTGTCCTCCAACACCAGCGTCGGGTCCGTGCGCCGCGCCGCGATCTCCCAAATGCGGCGGTGCGAATGGGCGCACCCGCGCTCGCCAGGCGACATCTCCTCTGGGGTCGGGGGGTGGAGGGCAGGGCAGGGAGGAGGAGGAAGAGGAGGAGGAAGAAGAAGAGGAGGAGGAGGAGCAGGCGTGATGCGGAAGGTTCATTTAGCCAGGGCGAGCGAGTCAGAGGGCTTTGCCTATTCCCACCCTCCCTCCCGCAACACAATCATCAACTGTGGTGCAACTTGGTATTGGGACTGAAGCGCGTTCCCACCTCGCTAACGGAAATCGCTCGCGCGCGGTCCCGCTTCCGAAGACTTGGGGAAGGGAAACTTACGCGGCAGCGACGGGGCGGGAGTGGCACAACGTCCGATGGGCGCGGCGCAGACGACGCAGGTGCCGAGTTGGCACAGCACTTGCCACTTTCACTCGCAAGCTGCGCGGCGCCGCTGTCGCTGTCGTGCGGTTCGGCGAGCGGACCATGCCCCGCGCGGTAGCGCCACTTCCGGACGACACGTGCACGTAGCTTGGACGAGGGAGACAAGTCGCCCACTCGCGCGGGCCCTCCAGAAGTGGCGAGTGGAACATGTGCCCCGCGTCGAGGCGGGAGCGCCACTCTCAGGCGACATCTGCGCGGTCCGCGGAGGCGCTGACGACGTCTTCGTCCGCTCGCGCGTCGGCGAAGCTGCGCGCAAAACATGCCCGCCGCTCCCAAACGGCAGCTCCATTTTCGAGAAACTTGAGCGCGGCACCGAAGCGAAACTGACATTTCGCCCTTTCTCGCGGGATGTGCGCCGCGTGCCATTCCCGACACGCATGTTGCGGCGTTGGCGGCAGGGGGGAGGGAGAGGAGGAGGAGGAGGAGGAGGAGGAGGAGGAGGAGGAGAAGGAGGAGAAGGAGGAGGAGGAGCAGGAGGAGGAGGAGGAGGAGGAAAAGGAGGAGGAGGAGGATGATGAGGAGGAGGAGGAGGACGAGAAGGAGGAGGAGGAGAAAGAGGGAGGAAGAGGAGGAGGAGGACGAGGAGGAGGAGAAAGAGGGAGGAGGAGGAGGAAGAGGAGGAGGCGTTTCATTTACATTGAGAGAACTGCCTCGCTGGAAGGCAACAGTTTGAAGATCCTGAAGCGTGCCGAAACATTGTTCTCGGGACTTCAACGCCACGTATCAACCTGACTGCTGCGTCTCGACGATCCCGAACCGTGCCATAACGCCATTTTTGAGACTTCAACACAGCGAATCAACATAACTGTTGCGCCCGCACAATCCTGAATCCTTTCAGAACACCGTTTCTGGTACGTTGATCATCGAACCCATGAAATTTTTGCAATTATTTAAACGAATGTGCGCGGCGCTAATGCGAGAACCACATGTTGAAAACCACCCGCCCTCAATCCGTGAAGCTCTTGCAACTTTGAAAAACGAATGTGCGCGGCGCTCTGGCGAGAACCACATTTTGAAAACGACCCGCCCTCAATCCGTGAAGCTCTGGAAAAAAAAACGAATGTGCGCGGCGCTAAGGCGAAAACCAAATTTTGAAAACGACCCGCCCCCAATCCGTGAAGCTCTAGCACATGTTTAAACACAAATGTGCGCAACGCTCAAACGAGAACCACATTTTGAAAACCACCCACCCTCAATCCGTGAAGCTCATGATTTTTTTTCAAAAACAATTGTGCGCGGCGCTGACGCGAGAACCACATTTGAAAAAACGACCCGCCCTCAACCCGTGAAGCAATTGCAATTTTTCCCAACCCTCCTGCGTTGGGTTCTCGTTTTGAATAGAGCACT